GGCAGCCTGTGCCTCTCTGCACTGTGCATCTCTGTTCGCCACCATTTCTCTTCCTGCCTTTATATCTCACTCTTTGGCTCAATGCATTTCTCTGTGTCTGTAGCTGGCCACCATTTTCTCTTTTTCTCAGTCCCTGAAGAATCTCACTTTGTTTCCATTTCCCTCTCCCAGCTTCAGCTTCTGTCCCTCTCTTTGTTCCCTCTCTATTATCTTTCATTTTCTCCATCTATTTTTCTCCATATCCTGTGCCATGCTCATTTTTCTACCTTCCCTCCTTGCTGTAGCATTGTAGCACTGACGGTCCCTTTGCTCATCTACCATCTGCTGCTCTCCACTGATCTCTTTGCTAAAAACAAGCTTCTTCAGCTAAGGGACAGAAAAATTGCCAAGTTCATTGGAATCTGTGATGGGTGAGGAGACGGAGGCTGATAAATGAAAACTTCAAAGTTTTGAATTTAAAAAAAAATCCCAGCTAGATGTAAAACAAGAAAATGGCGTCTAAGTCTCCTGTGGCTATTTTTGGCTTTTAGAAGACTATTTCTAGGGAATACAAGTTGCAGAGGGAAGAAGGAAAGTTAAGAGGGCAAGACCTTCAACAGTAAATGGACAGTGCAGAGGGAATAAAACTTCAGCATTGGAAGTTGCCACACACAAAATACACCACTTCAAATGGCATTTATTGATTTGCACTCCTTTTTCATCCCTTTACATCCTGTTTTAGGGAGAGGAGAGCCCAGCCAGGACATATAGCCCCTTCTGCTCGCCCCTCTTCACAACTACAAAGGGGCTTGGGAGAAACACACAGAGGCAGAGCGTCTGATCTCTTTTTGCACATACCAAATGCAAACAGATACTTTGATGGAGCTTGAGCTTCAGTTTAATAGAAAAACACAACGGAATTAAAAAAAGAAATGTACTGAGGAAATTTCTGCACAAGGAGGAGCCCAGTGTGGGAGGCACAAAAAGGAGAGGATGGCACACATGGTTGCCACCTCTACGAGTGCACCCATTTCTAAAATGTCCATAAACACATGGGGAAGGTCCAAGTCTGTGTTTCTGCATGCACAGTGTGATTTGGCAGCATGGATGAGAGCATAGGCAGGTGTGCATGTCACTGGGGGATAATATGCAGAGGGGCTTCTGTGGGGGCTTCTATGAGGGCACATCCATGGGCTGGGGAGAAGGATGCTTCTTGCCAGTAGGCTGGCACTGCAGGGCTGGTTTGCTGTTAGGGTTCATGATTTAATTTATGAACCCAGGGGATATGAAATGTGGCTGAGGCAGGCAGGCAGAGGAGACACATAGTAGGCCCCTCACAGCAAAGGAGTTGCCCCAAAAAAGACAACACAGCTGGGGGACAGCCCTTGTGAGCAAGGACGGTTTTGGCAGTGAGGCCAGGATTGTTCCCCTGGGTAGTGCACTTAAGGCAGATGTTTTCTGTCAGTGGGGAACAGAGCAGCTCACTTGCCATGAGCTGGGCAGTCCCGCTCTTCGCCTAACAGAGTATGTTCTTTGTTGTATGCACCAGAGAGCACTGCCCCAACCTTCTCCCTCCCCGCTTTGATAAACTGCAACGTGACAACCATCAGCTCCCTGCCAAAGCTGGCTTCTGCGCTGAAACATTTGTAAATTTGTTCTGTGTATGGAGCTGTGTTTCTGTTCCCCCCGCCTCGCTTTGCCTTGGAGGTTAGAGTTAATATGACTCACCTAATCTGGCTGCCAAGGTGAATTAGTGAAAACATCTCTACAGCTCTGTGCAAGATATCACAACCTGACATTTTTCTAACACACCGTGATATATCTTTTTTCTCTCTCTGATGCGTACTATGACACCTCAATTTTATATAAATGCTCTTTGTTACAAATGGTTAATGTACTCTAGGGAGACAGGGCTGCAAGCAAACGGGTCCTACTTGCAATGGGATTAACCAAGTTGTTTTAGGAAAATGTTGATGCCCAGGGTTGAAACAGATCACTGCTGCAGGGACAGGATCAGTGATACCACCACCACTGTTTCAGGCAGCCTATCACAGAAAGTTCTCCTGAAGTGGTATGCTCATATCTGCATCCTAGGGCAGAGGAATGAGAAGCTAAGTAGGCTTGGTGGTATCTTCAGCTTCCTTTAACACAGAAGCCTCCCTTTCACACATGCTGGTAGAGCTCCACTGGGCAAAGCAGCAGCCCCTCATATGAATCACCTGCTGGTAAGGGCTGCACATTGCTGCTGGAAGCCCTTCTGCTGGACACAGCACATGGTTTTAAGTGCATGTGTATACATCAGAGAGGAGCTGAAAAATATCTTCACTTAGGAAATTGTGCACTTCTTGGGATACTTTCTGGAGCCCCTACGATGCAGTGCTCTGATAGACAGACTTAGCAGCACCCCTAATGGGGGTGCCACTCCATTAGAGCTGGTAAGTCACCCTCAACCCTTTTTTCATTACAGTGACAGTCTTGTGACAAGGGCAAATTGCAGGAGAAGCAAGTCCCACTTGGAATGAGCCCTGTGTATAAACAAGGCAGAACTGCAGAGCAAATGATTTGCAAAGCAGAGGCAAATTATGTTTTAACCTTTTCCCTGTAAGTCTTTCCTGGATGTCCAATTAACTTTCCAGTCAACTGGCTGACCTACCAACTGGGAGTGCTGCTGTGAGAGGAGTGGAGTGGTGGTTGTCAGCTCGGACTGAGGGTGGCATTTTCAAAGAGCATTATTAGCAGGCAGCAGCGTGTTAGAAGGTGATGTGGGAATTAGAGGAGATCCCAGCCTCCCAACCAAAAATGATTCGTGCTATGGCAGAAACACACCAGATGTATTGGCTATACAAACAGCACCACAGTGCAGAAGTGTTGCAGTTCTCTGCCTGTGTTCAGCTGTGGCGATGCTTCGTATCTGAAATGCTGTGTACAGTTTAGGGTGTTGTCAGAGAGATCTAAACGGAAAGAGCAGGAATGAATAAGGTCTACAAAACCTCACCAATAGAGAAAGGTTGAAAGACCTTGCACTATTCAGCAAAAAAAAACAACCTGGTGGCAATCAAGGGAAGAGCATAAGTGATTTAAAGTTGATAAAAGACTATTGCGGAGAAGGAGGGAATGAGTATTTGTTCTTTTTGTCAATAGGTGGCAAAGACAAAAATAATAGACTTAAATTGCAGCAAGGAAGACTTGGTCAGGCTGCAGGGAAATGGTTTCAGCAGCAAGGACAGGGAAGCACAGGAACAGCCTGTTCAGAGAGACTGCGGAGCCTGTCACTGGAGGGCAGGGCAGGGCTGTCACCAAGAAACAACCCTTGTGTCATGCTGAAGTATGGGAATGGGCTTGATGGGCACGGAAGCTCCTTCCCGTACCAGGACTGGCCTAGCCCTGCTCCTACAGGAGTTCATATTCTCAGACTTATTCATGAGTTACCCCACTGAAAAATACCTATGCAAATCCTGCCCTACTTCTTCCTCCAGGAACTCTGCCCTGGCTGTCCATAAGCACCAGCATAAGATTGAAGCAGTGTCTCAGAGCACTGGCAGGGTTTTGCCAATGGATTGCCTTGTAAAATACATGTTGCCATGCAGAAAGACATACAGGTTTAGATGCTGTACTAAATAACATGATTTAGTGGGGAAATATTGGTGATAGGTGCATGGTTGAACAGGATGATCTTGGAGGTTTTTTCCAGCCTTGGTGATTCTATGATTCTGTCATTGTAAGGCATCTCAGCCGACTGCTAGGGATGAGAAAACCTGCATCAGAGCAGTTGGAAATTTGAGATCTACCAATGAGGTATCCACTCATCTGAACATCTGGTAGGAGTTGGAGGAGGGATCACAGAAAGAAGGGGGAAAGCTTGTCTTTCTATGGGCTTAAAAGATGCATGTGCTGTGTGTCTCCATGACAGGGGATGGTTTTCCCTTAGAATGGTTCTGAAAATTGCCTGGAGAAAAGAAAAGGGCAGAAATAATGGTGTGACAGACAGATTTCTGAGTAGATTCTGAAGTTGCTCAAGTTCCTATCTCTAGTGCAGAAGTCAAATCACTCTGTGTGCGTGGTGCACCCAGCTTGCCCAGGCTTATACACTGCAGCAGCCAAATGTCTGTGTGTGGTAGGATTTGTTGCAGGTGACTATAGGGGACTTGAGCTCCGAAGAGGGGCTTAAATCAGTGCTGCAGAGCCGAGGAGCAGCCCTGTCCTCCGGGCCTTGGCTGAGCTCCATCAAACTAATGGGAAGTGGGCACAATTTCAGAAGTGCTCAGCACCCTTTGAGCAGAAATTGTCTCCTGGGCAGAGTTTCACTGGAAAATCTGACTGCTCTCCTAGAAGCCTGAAAAGAGAGTCCTTGTTGTGTTGATGTTTTCTTTGAGGGGGTATGAGGGGAAATCTGTCCTGATTCTCGAGTCACAGCTTTCAGAGCTGTCCTAGCGAGGCAGCACAGCTTAAATGTGTCATTTCATGTACCATAGATGGAGGATTCGTAATGATTATTGGGCTCTGCGGATCAAATGACACTTGATTTCTCAGTTTGGATGTGTTTAACTGTATGTAGCACGGCCTGATCGATGGCTCTTCAGGGTGGCAGCTGCTCTGAGAGGCAAAAAGACATTTTTCCCAGTTTGGCAGTGATGAAAGGGCTGCTGACAGTGCACCAGCATATCTGGGGAACCAGCCACCCCTGGTCAAGCACATCAGTGGGCTGACTTCTCTCAGTCATACCACAGAACTCAGTCCACCTTCACATGATGGAGATTGTGTCTATTGGGCAGCCTGTGCAGCACTGTACTACCACTTGTGCTTCCTTCTCAATTTCCTGAACCTGAGTTTTCGATAACTAAATGAAATGCAAATATCTTGCTGATACGGCGTCTGAAATAACCTCGAAATAGCTCCCTCAGTGGCTGTTGTTTATTTGCAGAATCGCTGTTGTGATTGTTCCTCCATAGCAATTAAGCAGAAGGCTTCCCCAGTCTGTATGCTTACCAGAGAGCCATCACCTGTATTTTTCTGTTCTGCAGGAAGGGAGTTTGAAGGTGAAGAGGAGTACCTGGAGATCTTGGGGATCACACGAGAGCAGTCGGGCAAGTATGAGTGCAAAGCTGCCAACGAGGTCGCTTCAGCAGATGTCAAGCAAGTCCGGGTCACTGTGAACTGTGAGTACCTCGCAGGAGAGCAATCCTTGCCTATGGGCAAGGGTGGCTGTGGGGTAAACGGAGATGACCTCCAGGTCCATGTTAAAGGATCTGAAATGGGGGGGAGCTATAAGGCTCTTACCACAGGGTGGAGTTTGTTCTTTAAATATCAAAATATGTAAGAAAAGGGGAGAAAAAAAGAGAGATGAATCATCACAGAATGGCGTGGGTTGAAAAGGACCACAGTGATCATGTAGTTTCAACCCCCCTGCTATATGCAGGGTCGCCAACCACCAGACCAGGCTGCCCAGAGCCACATCCAGCCTGGCCTTGAATGCCTCCAGGGATGGGGCATCCACAGCCTCCCTGGACAACCTGTTCCAGTGTGTCACCACCATTTGTGTGAAAAACTTCCTCCTAATATTTAACTTAAACCTCAGTTTAAAACCATTCCCCCTTTTCCTATCACTATCCACCCTCATAAACAGTTGTACCCCCTCCTGTTTATATGTTCCCTTCAAGTATTGGAAGGCCACACTTGGAAGGCTCTCCCTGGAGCCTTCTCTTGTCTAAGCTGAACGAGCCCAGTTCCCTCAACCTTTCCTCACAGGAGAGGTGCTCCAGCCCTCTGATTATCTTAGTGGCCCTCCTGTGGACCCACTCCAAGAGCTCCATGTCCTTCCTGTACTGGGATCCCCAGTCCTGGATACAGTACTCCAGATGGGGCCTCACAAGAAGTTTCAATGTGTTGCCCCTGTCACTTCCCTCAGACGTCCTGGCCATGCCGTGTTTTTACTTATTGGTATTTGAGATAACAGCATAATGAAGAGCAGCTTCAGCAAGAATAGATAAGGTTCAGCCAGCTCAGAGTGAGCATCCATTTGACTCAGCTGCGCTTACATGGGCATCGTGCCCCAGTGGCCTGAGGGAATGCATGGTAGAGGCACCATTAGTGAGAGGGGGCAGAACATGACTTTTAAGCTGGTTTCAGGTCATGTGAAAAAAGCCTTCTGTGCGTCAATGCAGTACAGAAAAAATGTTTGGCGAAAGGAGCCTGCTATCCATCTCAGAGCACTCAGAGGTAGTGCCATGTGACTTACATCCCACTCCAGCTCCTGTGAATCCTCATTGGGTGATGCACTGCTGAGCAGGGCATGGACCACTTTGTGCATGCACACACAGAGGGCGGATCCACCTCATCCTGCAGGTGCCCTTGCAGTGACATATGTCAGACCGCCTTCATTCCTATAGCCTTGTATGTGTGTATGACCACCCCCATATGTGTATGGCTCATGTTTGGCACTAGTTATTTGGTAGGAATATACCCACCTGACTGCTCCGTTTCCCTGACTGGAAGCTAATAGCTCTGCAGCAAGGATGGATGAATGTGACATACACCCCTCTCCTGACCTTCTTCAGGTGACTCACCAGAGCACTAACTTCAGCTGCAATTCAGGTGGTTGCAGGCATAAGTCAGCATGTGCACACGTGCCCTTGATTCATAGGTAGCACCCCCTGCGAGTTGGTAGGGGCAGACCTGGCAGCAACAAGTGGCTTTGCCCATCCCTCTCTCATTTCCCACCACATGTGGTTTTAACACATCTTTGTGCCATTCTTGCTCTTCCTTTCCCTCTGAGCCCATCACATCATGTCAACTTTTCTGCCTTGCTTTAGAAGTCAAGGTTGCAGGCATTGCTTTTGGGGCCCCTGCAGCATCTTTGCAATCCAAACAACTTCGGCAGGAATTAGGTGTTCCTGCTTTTAGCAGGGGGTTTGGAACTAGATGATCTTCCAACCCAAACCATTCTGTGATTCTATGAAAATTGGATGGTGGGAGTTTAGTAAAGGCTGCTTCATGGGCAGGCTTAACCAACTAGTGTGAAACTGCAGTAGCAGATATAATGAACTAAAGTTTTTGTTTTATGTGTGAAATATGTCGTTTGCTTTGTTGTTTGTAGGTTTTTGTTGGTTTGTTGGTTTGTTTGTTTGTTTGTTGTCAAAAACAACTGAGCTTATAAACCCAAGACATTCCATTAAAAGCAATTCGTATTTTCAGATATTTCTATGAAGTATAATTTCAGTGCTGTATTTAGCATGGTTGGATGAAGTCCACGTACAATTTTGACTTTGTTTCAACTTAGTTACTGGAGTGCTAGAGTGGGATCCTTTTTCTCATGGAATATGAAAATAAGATCTGATGCAGTACTGCAGTATTAGTACATGGCCTAATGTGTAATGTGAGCAAATGATCATTTCCTGCAGGACCAAAAGGTTGCCAAGCACACGGATAGATTCAAAGAGGTCATGAGATGCACAGGAAAAAAAAAATCGGTCCTGTTTGGGGGACGAAATCCAGATATTTGCATACTTCTTTCCTTATCTTGCTTTCTTAAGCTACACATGCAGTAGAAGCAATGAAAATCACAGTAAGATTGAAAAATGGGACCTGTCCCAAGTGAGGAGCTCCCTGGCCATCCCTTATCACCTGATCTCTCTCGGAGGCTGAGCAGCGGGCAGGTTGTCAGCCGACTGCAGGAGAAAGCAGCGTGTCTCTGCTTCGGTCTCACACCACCACCTTCAGGCTCCTTGAGTAATGGCTCTGGCACATTGCAGATGGGAAACTGAGGCCTGGGGAAGCGAGGAGGGAGAGCAGCGAAGGAAGCCCACTCCTGGCTGCCCCGGCCAAATTCGGAGCGGCTGCATTTCCTGGGCCCACCGAATGGTTCTGTTTATGGCATGACTCATCGCGCGCTCTGGGTTTAGTGAAGTGGAAAAGGCTTTTCTCACAGCAGCCGGCATGGTACACAGCTTGTACAAAAAATTGGAGAAGGAGGCTTAAAAAATCACCTTCGCTATCTTTTTATTACCCCTCCTCCTTCCCGAATTAAAATATTTACGTGAACCCTCAGCCTTTGAATGCAGGATCCTATTTCTGTACACTTATTAATATTTATGATGTTAGAGGGCGCACTGCAATATCCCTAAAGCCCTGCATAAAATCCCGATTAAGGTCAGGAAAGGGATCACATTGAGCTGGCTAATGCGCTCACAACAAACTTCTCTCAGTGCTTTTTCCAGACAGCGTTTTTTTTTTTATTTGACAGGCACGATCCATTCTGATTATTTTTTTGGCCTTCCTGTGCCAGGACGGACACAGGCAGCAGAGCTGTGCTCCGTGCACAGGCAGGGTGCTTTGCGGTGGCCTGAGCCTCAGCACGGCAGCTAGCTCTGAGTCCCTGAGCACTGGTGATGGCAGACAAGATGCCTACTCCCTCCCAGCAGCCAGGTGGAAATAATCCTGCCTTTTCATTGGTCCATCTTGTCACTAAGGCTGGAAAAGACCTTTAAGATCATCCAGTCCAACCGTCACCACCATGCCCACTAAGCATGTCCCTAAGTGCCGTATCTACATGTTTCATGAGCACCAGGGACGGTGACTCCACCACCTCCTTGGGCAGCTAGATCCAATGCTTCACTACTCTTTTGGAGAAGAAATTCTTCTTGAAAGCCAATCAGAACCTCCCCTAGCTCAACTTAAAGTGATAACCTCTCATCTTATCACTTGTTACCTGAGAGAAAAGATCAACCTTTCCTTTCTTATTATAGTTTTGACATTAGACGCAAAGGTTGTATGGAAATCAGTTTTTATGCTAGTGCTAAATTCCTGCTTTCTTTCTTTTGCTTCTGCTTTCTTTCTTTACCATTGATAAAGTCTTTCTCTCATCATCTTCTCTCTGATAAGGCCATGTGAACTAGAGATCCGTGGGTAAATATTCATGAATTACAGGAGTCTATCATTAACCTCAACTTTACCTGCATATGCCTGTGCAATTATGACAGAGCTTTATTCAGTGCCACTGAAGAGAAGCACGCGTAAGGAGTAATGCTGGTATAGTTATTAGAGGAGTTCAAAGAGCAGATATTTTTCAGAGGAGCAGGGGCTGGTTGTGCCCCAGCATACGGCTGCTATAGTCTTCCACTAGCACCAATGGTTTGCTTAAGGAAGCCAGTTCCTGAAGCAGTTCTACTTTTTTTCCATCCATCTGGAAGTTGTGAGTTACCCAGTGTTTCTTTCCTGCAGACCCTCCCACCATCACAGAGTCCAAGAGCAATGAGGCAGCCACGGGACGACAAGCCTTACTCCGCTGTGAGGCATCAGCAGTGCCCACGCCTGATTTTGAGTGGTACAGGGATGACACCAGGTAAGGCCATTAGCTCTCGTTTTCCTTTCTCTACATTTCAGTCCACTCACTAGGGCATCCTTAGACAATCAGCTGTCATCCTCAGTTCTTCTCTTCAAGCAAATTACTCTCTGTGTGCTATGTAAGTCAAGACTGTCCCTTCAGCCCAGGCAGAGGCAGTGTGATTGGGACTGGAAAAGGCAGTCCTTCTCTAAACCAGAGATGCTGAAGGGAGAGCTAAAGATGAAGCTCCTGCCTTTAAATCAGTAATGGAACAATTCACAATTAAGACATTAGTCGTGCTTCCTTCCTTCCGGTGTTCATGTGCTAAATAGATCATGATAAAAAAAATAGTGTTGCTCTCCAAGTATGTAACTCCAATCTAGACATCTACTTCTAGGGGAGGTATAAGAAAATGAGTAAAAGGATCTGTTCCTTATACCTGAGCATTTACATTGCATTTAGAAGGTAGTGTTATTACTGTAGTTTTTTGGCTCACCCATGTCTGCAGGCTCAGGGGTGGCCTGGCTTTTGTAAATGTTCATATTAAAATATATTAATTGGTATGTTTCACTAAAAATCGTTGTTCCAAGTATGAACTAGTATGAACTCAGTTGGTCGTAGTAAGTTCATTTCCCAGTGTAAGCCAGTGCTGAACAAAGGCTTCTTCCCTTTCCCTCAGCTTTTCTTTCTTCTCCACTGCTTTACCAGAGGCACTCCTCTCTGCTGCACCCCTTTTTCCTTTCATTGACTCCTGCTTCCCATCAGTGCCTTCCCTGGCCTCTTTCTTCTCACGTCTCCTCACTGCCTGCCTCCATCCTCACCTGCCAGCTGGTCTGAAGAGCGTTGATTTCCTCCCCAAAACACAATGGCCACTGCACTGCACTCCTCTTCTCCTATCTTTCCAGGATAAACAGTGCCAATGGTCTGGAGATAAAGAGCACGGGGAGCCAGTCTCTGCTGATGGTGGCTAACGTCACTGAGGAGCACTATGGGAACTACACCTGTGTGGCTGCCAACAAGCTGGGAGTCACAAATGCCAGCCTATACCTTTACAGTAAGTATAGAAGAGGGCGAGGGGAGGTCCAGGTCACTCTCACAAAGAAGAACCAGGCTGTGTTGTAAGCATGCAGGATCACTGGTCCGTAAAACACTGCTTGTCAGCCTTGCCAAACCTCTAGCTGAGAACTGACTGCTTTGGACACATACATGTCCATACTCAGAGTGAAACACAAACGCAGCCAAATTAAAAGGTTAAGGTCAAGCCCTTTGATTGACTTTATTTGCCAAAGTCAGACTTTGTTAAAATAATCAAAATGTGTTTGTTTTAAGACTGGAACTGAAAACTCCCTCAGAGTGAAAGCCCTTTTAACAAGCAGAGAAAAGGCCAAGGCTCGAGGGGCTGTGACAGCTGAGAAATGACAAGTAATTCAGAGAGGTGGAGAGAACTAGCCACTGAGCCTGAGGAGAACAAGAGAGTCAAGAAAAAGAGAAATGAGTTTGAAAGCAGGAGAAAATGGGAAGGAAGGAAGTAGCATAAGACAGAATGATTTAAGGGGGCATACCTTGGGGAATATGGGGGAAAAGATAATCAGCAGGTGAGATATGAAACAACTTTCTGGGATCTCATTGCTCCCTTTCAATGACTGAGTTTTTGTGGTAAACTTAAGAAGAAAGAAGCTGGGGCCATGACAAACTCCAAAAACAGAATTACCTGCTGATTCCAAATTTTGCTTCTGGTTCTGTCCTGCCCTATGTTAAGCCCCTGTTCTTCTCCTCCCACCCATGCACACATGGGTATATTCACTATGGTGCTTTCAAAGCCCAGTTCTGTATTCAAGGCACAAATCCTGGACTCAGCTTTCACTGCACATTTCTATTGCCTCCAGAAATAGACTGAAGCAGAATGACCCACTCACACAAATGGACCAGAGACTGAGAAGTGACATAGGGTTGTATTCTTCTGCTGATCTCAAACTGAATTAAAGCACTCAGGCCATGACCTGCATGACCTTCTAAACAGAAACAAAAATAAACTATGCAAATCTGTCTTAGTGTGAGAGGCAGTCTAATGTAGTCTCTGTTGTGGGGTCAGATAAATCAAAGTATCAGGAAAAAAAAGTGTTTCGGTTTGGTTTTGTTTTTTAGCAGATGTACTGCAAAAGTACAGATCCATTGGCATTCTTTGTTTGCCACCTCTAGATTTATTACATTGCAGTTTGAATTCTTGTAAAATTTGGGTGCGTTCTGTGGATTTTTTTTTCGTGAAGAATAGATTTATCATAAAAGTACATATATTTGATTTCCTGCTGCATTTGGTGAGGGAAACAAAGCAAATTTCTACTTTGAAGGTCTTTTCACCCTCATCTTGTGACTGTCATGAGATTCAAATGAAATTCTCAGGCAGCAATCTGGAACACAGTTTTCAGATACTTGAGATTTGTTCTTGCTGATATTAATATAATGCTAAGTTTAGAATCCATTATTTGTGGCTGCATTCTAAATTTGGCCCTCTCTATTGGTTCCTGTTGCACAGATGAGCTGAATGCATCACTGAAACAAAATATAAGATGAAATTCAATAATGTATGTATGGACACGTGATATTAGACAGGGGTTGGTTTTTGCTAGAAAAGCATTTTGCACGACTTGAGAGCTTCACCTCAAAGGATCTCAAAGGATTTGCTAGCAATGAATATTTTAACATCGCAAGTTATTCAGAAATCAGTGAGTGTTATTAGCACTTTTTGCAGTAGGAAGACTAAGAAACAGAGTGAAGAAGTGGTTTACCCATGGTCATGAATTCAGTGGCAGAACCTATAAGAAAAGTGAGGAGATCTTGCAGAGTTGCCAGTATCTATACTGAGAAGAAAGGTGGCAACTGTTACGGATGACTTGAACAAGGAAATAAAGTGAGGGTGCTATTTTAACCTCCTTTTAATGTGTGTTGAGGTAACTTTCCTTCTATCGAGTTGTTGGATTTTGTTCATCATTTTTGCAGTAAAAATTCAAGTGCTATCTGTGCTGTGAAACACTTGAGAACTTGTGAAGTAGCAACTTCACAAGAGCCAGAAGAATGGAGGTACAGGAGGTGAGAAAGATTAGACGATTTTCCTCAAACTGTTTCCAACTTCTGTTTTTGTTGTTTAGTTAATTCCCATTTTCTTCAGCATTCAGTGTTGTGGAGGGAGAAAGCCATTGTGAAAATTGTGTAATATTATTTCAGGAACTCTCCATTCTCCTTCTAGTTAGAATGGAAAAGAGAAAAACATTAAATTCAGGTAGACTCCTGTTGGTATTCCTAAGATTAAAAAATCAGGGAGGAGGTGAGTGAAGGGAATCAAGCTTCATAAAGAAGTGGCCAGAAACCTACAAGCCCAGCTGACAAAAATGCTGTACTGATCTCAAATAACCAGCAATGTACAATCCCAGCCACAGACTCAAGCATTAGAAAAATTAAGAAAAGCAACGCCAAGTTTTTTCAAGGTACAGTGCATACTCAAATACTCAGTGTTTTTCTTCCACAGAATCCAGGATTTTTATTTTAATTTTTTTTAAATAGAGATCAAGCTTACTGTAGCATCCCCTGCATCCCAGCAGGGAGGCAGATGCAGTGGTCCACTGTAAAAAAAACCCCACACAACAACAACAAAAAGTGGCGGTCAGCAGTGCAGTAGCAAACAGAATGTTAGTAATGAGGTACTGGCAGCTTTGTCTGAGGTGGAGGGCAGATGGGGAGCTAGCAAAATGATGTGAAAGAACAGTTCAGCAACAGAGAAAAATGGGTGTCTTCCATTCCATGAAGTCTCCGCCTGCATTTAAAAACTCTCAGAGAGACCAAGTGCCTTAGAAGTCAATGCCATAGTTAGAAGATGCATTAAATTACAAAAGCAGCTTCCTAGAGCTGTATGAATAGATAGCTAGTGATCTTCCATAAAGGATGTAGCAGCATGAATGCCTGCTGTAGGTGGAGAGATTTATACCCCTCTCTCCTGGAGACAGAGCTTATAGCAACACACAAATAGCGATACTGGGTCTGTCTTACCCAGGGTCCTGTCTCCAGCAACAATCTGGAATATGTTTGCACACAGCACACATATGTACTGTCTGATGATACAGAGGATCTGATAGCTTGCTGCCATCCCCTCCTCCTTGCTTCTTACTCCCCCTGCTCTATGCCCCAAGCTTTTGTTATTTCCCATACTCTGATACCAGTGGGCCACACACCAAGGCAGCTCAACTTGTGAAAACATAAGGGAGCTTTACCACCCACCCTCTGAACGCTCCCAAATGTTTTCTTCTGTTGCAGGGAGCTGAGTTAGTTCAGGGAAAGGTTCAAGGAGCACCAGAGCCCGTGCAGGAGGGAGGGACATGCCCACACAGAATCATAGAAGCATAGAATGCCCTGGGTTGAAAAGGACCACAATGATCATCTAGTTTCAACCCCCCTGCTGTGTGCAGGGTCACCAACCAGCAGACCAGGCTGCCCAGAGCCACATCCAGCCTGGCCTTGAATGCCTCCAGGGTTGGGGCATCCACAGCCTCCTTGGGCAACCTGTTCCAGTGCATCACCACCCTCTGTGTGAAAAATGTGTATGGACAAAGGAGCCGGGAGGCAGCACCATGTTGTGCTGGAGGTGGGTTCGGCTCTGCAGACCCTTGGAACAGGGCTGGTAACTCGTAGCACAAAATGCCATGAAACGAAGGAAATGGGCAGTAGAACTCCTGAGTGTGAGGGTGACCTGACAGAGGTAAAGCCAGTCTGCTTCACAGAACAGCGAAGGTGAGAAGCAGCACCACAGCTAAAGGGAAAGGTTTTTTCCCACAGATATATGAGGAGAGAGGGAACTTGTTTCCTTCTCATTCCATTAAGCCAACAGAGTGCTATGAAAAGCTACAGATATAAAAGCCACAATTTATATGTTAGCTCATGCTGCACAGTGGTACACATATGTGCGTATATATATAAATTATATATAAAAGTATATGTCAGATGCATATCTGCCATACAAGCATATGCATACATAGGCTTACATGTATGAATATATGCGAGCAAACTCATCCACTGGCACACAGAAGTAGCTGCAGCACCTGGCACAATCGTGCAAGGCAGAGAAAACCAATGAAAGTCCTTCCAGACCAGTTGACTTCTGCCTCCTGCAGAGCCAGCTTATCCCTGAGGATAAAGGAGGAGACAACAGCGTGGAACTGCACACCTCAATGCAGTCCTGCTGCCTAAATTGTCTCAATTATGGGAGACTGCCACCTCAGCAGGAGCCCTGCTGCATTCTCAGTGCCCTTCAGCAAGAGAGGAAAGCGGAGGTGAAGCAGCACCTGGCAGGGCCCATGCCAATTACATGCAGGCAGCAGGCAGCATCCCACCACCACCTCTCAAAGTGCTTCAGGTACAGTTATCAGTTCGGTCCAGCAGTTTCAATCCCAGCTAGAGGCAAGCTTCTCGGAAGAGCTGGTGCTTGCCTCTCACCTGCCATTGCTTGTTAGCACCCTGGCACAAGTGCTAGCTGGTGGGCACCCTCTCATACCCGTTGTCACAGTACTCTGCCTTGTACCTGAGCATCTGCTTGTGGTGGTGGTGTTTGCTATGGTTTGGAGTAAAGTCTGAGGCTCTCAGCGCATCCCCCGTGTATTCCCACAGGCTGTCAGTAACAGAGACTTGGGAGAGGAAAGAAAGTGGTGAGGGTGACAGCCAGATGGAGCGAGGCTGAGACACTGCTAATGAGCCAGGGTGGAGCAATAAAGGCTGCACGCAGCAGGCAAGGGGAACAGAGGGAGAGTCCTTGAATAGAAAGCAGCGTGATAATGAGGCCATAGTGCTTTGCTTTAACTGCTTATGCTGTGCAGCCTGCAGCCTGCTGTGTGGGAAGAAGGTAAAGGGGAGTTGAGTTATTTAACCAAACTAAATAACAAGGAAGTCATGTCAGCACAACAGCCTGCTTTCACAGAACAATAGTCCCCTGGTGCTACATAAACACAGAGATCGAGGCTAGCTGTGTATTTTCTACACAAGAGACAATCCCCCCTGTCCCTGCTGTGGTCTCCCATGGCTCCATTACCACTGTGAAGGCAGGAGATCTGCAATATTACAGGTCCTTGTGGTCTCCAGCAAGTTAGAAGCCAGCTCCTTGCACCAGGAGTGCTATACAGAGAGCACTGACTTCCAGAGAGCTGGGACTGGGGTGATCAGAGAGCAACAGTGGACTACAGCTGTATCTTACCAAGCTGTATGTACATCAGCAGTGATCTTAGCAACACCCTCACAGATAAACCAGGAGACAACTCATTGCCTCAGGCCTATTAGCTTTTGCATAGTGACATATTTCTGCAGCTAAATGTCTGCCTACCAGTCAGCCCTTGAGTAGGAGCATGCCTCAGTCAGCACAAGGCATCTAGCAAGCTCTATAGTTGATGAAGAGAAACCCAGTGTAGAGCCAGAGTAGAGTCTGGTCTGGTGGGCTTATATTCATGGTTCTGCTCCTGACTCTGCCAACAGATCAGAATTTGACCTTGGACAGACTGCTTCCTTGCTTTCTTCATCACCTGCTCTACCTGTAAAATGGAATTAACAGTCCTTCTGCCTCAGACTGAGGTCTCTGAGTGCTGATTTCCCTCAGTGTCTGTGCAATTCTTTTGAGATCCTGGCATGGAGGAAGCAAAGCATGAAGCCAGCAGTGATGTATACCAGAGGCTTGCTGTGATATAGAACAAGGACACACTGTAAAAACCCAGTAACTGAAACAGCAGGCTCTGCTTGCTGCTAGAGATCGGTGAATCTGTAAAAGCTCTGCTCCTTTACAGAGACAAATGCCCAGAAGAAACAGAATACCATTTAGATTCACCAGGCTGACAATTCCAATGTTCATATCCCTAAGAGACCTCTCACTGGCAAGAAACCCACTGTGGAGAAGGTTGTGTGGAGGCAGTAGCTACCCACAGAGGACCTCTACAACTCATCCTGCTGCCAAAGGCTAGCTTCCAGCCAGAGGTGTAGCTAAGAGGAGCTGTAACATGATGACATGAGTGGTCTTGAAATTCAGAGGGGAGATGTGGCCCATTCATTCCAATTGACCTCACTGCAGGTGCTTAATCCCTACTGCTGTATAGATATTATTTGTTTAGTTTTTCAAATGACTTCTCTCTGACTCCCAGTCACAGGGTACGTGTACTAGGTGTGTTGCTAGAAAAATGCTCCATATATGCAACCTATTCTAGCTCATCTAATATTTGGGGATGGACAACTCCATCAGGTTTGTATTTGCTGCTTGCTTGGTGTGAAAAGTGGCTTTTCTCCTGCATGTTGCTTATTGTTTTTTTTCCCCCCTTAGAACGAGTTTTACCCACACTCCCCAATCCTTTTCCAGGTCAGTATATGTTTTATGTCAAAGTAGCTCTCTAGCCGGGTCATTCTCCATCATCCTGATAAATGCAAAGAGCTGGGGATGGGCAAAACAGGGCAGGACAATAAGGGCTTTCCCCCCTCTTCCACATACCATTTGTTCTCTTCTCCTCCCTTATTCTTCCCTCTTTCCTCTCCCATTTCAGGAAACCAATTAGCTAAAAAGCAACAACCATTTCCCAAGCTTTGATCCGTGACACCATGTCCTCATCCGGGTCCGGACAGTATTCACAGGGGATCAGTTTTTCTATAGACTGACTCCCTTGTATATATTCTTTCCATCATATCCTGATTTGGATCAAAAGCATAAGGAGACCTAAAATTTTGCAGGGATTGTAGAGTGGATGAATGAGAAGCTGAAAATTAAATTCTGCCAGGAGATTTTTTTTCACTCTAGTTGTGCAAACTATTCCCAATGAAAACCTTTTTTCCTCATTCCTTCATCATACACCCCTAAATCTGTCCTGTAGCTCTGCCTTTGTGGCAGACAGAATGAAAGGAAAAGCAAGGTAAAAGCACATACTACAGTAAAGTGTTATGGACTAGTTTATTGCAACGGGAGAAGGCATGAAGGCAAAACAAAGCCTGAATATTCTTCCTGCCCTTGCCGCATGCTGCCCAAGCCTCCCTCATGTACAAGCAGCATGGCCCAGGCTTGCTGAGTGCACATGAGGTTTGGGGTTTGGATGTGATCCTGAGGTAGTGTAAAAGCACAGAAACTCAGCACTTTCAGAAATCAGGCTGTTTCCAGGTGCTTGAAACTAAATCAACAATAAGGCAGCCGGTCCCCTTATTCATGTTAACATTTTGGCCTAGAGCTCCTCAGTATCTTTGTTTCACTGCCATATGGAGATATACTCAGCTCATGGGATGCTCTGAGGCCTCAACAGTTAACGTCTATGTAGAGCTTGGAGGTGGAGTGCTATTATGAACCCATGTTGTGTTGTAAAAGGGCACCTGCCCAAGTAAAGCACCTGCAGGTACTCCCATGGAAAGAACAATAAATGCTGGGTGTTACATCAGCTCCATTTAACAACTCCGTGTTTTCAAATCAAGCTCTGCTCTTGGCAACTTATTTAGGCTCAGGATGTAGTCACGATTGCCTATTTAAAAGGCAAATCCACAAATACAATTAAAGAAAAGCACCTAAAAAAGGAGGAAAAAAAAAAATGAAAGAAATCAAACTACCATTAAAATGAAATCCCAGAAAGTGATTTGTAAATAACATTCAAGGAGCTGAAGAAAGGAGTAAAGTAAGCCGTTGGGAATGTAGTGTGGCAAAATAAATCCAATTAAACACCATTATCATATGTATTGCAAATGAAACGTGTGCTTGGATGTGAAATTAAAGTTGCTGAGGCTGTTTGGGATGTAGGTTTTTGAGGAGTTTTCCAATTCTGTGTCTTCTCTTTTAAGCAGAATTCTCCATTACAAATATTTTTGTCTGATGGAAAACCCAGGGCTCTTTCTTTTTATGATTATTTTTATTATATATCCTTAAATTCCACAGACAGGCACTGTTAATTCTTTTCATTGCCAGCCCTGTTTACTGCTGGGTTTGAATTACTAGTCCATTAAGGTAAATGATAAAGCAAAAACCGCAATCGATTTCCAACCAGATTTCCATATCAAATGCCCCTCCTAATCAAGCTGCCAAGACCACCCTGCACAGCTTTAGTCTGTCCTTTAACACACTTCCCCCTCTGCCTTTGAAGTTGTCGTTTCATCCTTTTGCTGCTCCCTGTTCCCTGAGACCATCTTGAAGGACATCCCAGTGTGACATCACTTCTGTGAGGAGTCTTCAGGAGTCTGTGATGCCAAATGCAGGAATATCTCCACTGACCCTGGACACACTAAGAGGATTTTGCAGAGGGAGAAAGTAGAATTTAAATTCTCATTTGGTTTCTGAAAGCTCATACCAGCTTCTGTAATGTGAGCATTCAGCACAGATATTGGTACTTATCTCAACATTTGCTTTTACTTTGCTGTTCATCTTCAAAGAAACCTTAGGTGTAAAATTGCCTTGTTAGACCTTTTTCTCCCAATGAGTTTGTGTTCTGAGATGCTGTCCTCAGCTCTCAAACAAGCCTTTTCTCAGTGACCAAAATCACAGCCTCCTCCCTCTTCTCCCTTAATTTCCATTTCTCTAAGCCTCAGTAACACTTCCCTGCCCTGTAGGGCTTTGAGCATTAATTTAAAAGGAAGGTGTTTTGAGATGAAGAGCACTGTACTCATTGTAAGCGTTGCTATCATTAGCTAACTGCTGTGGAAACATCTTGCTTTCAGGCAGGCTAGAGACTCAGAAGAAGCTCATTCAGCTGAACACATGGAACTTGAAGGCTGTATCCGGGAAAGCTGGTAGAGCTCAGCTGATTCAGCTCTCAACTTTCCTGATTTTGCAGCAGGGCACTCAAAATGCCCTGAAAGGTCTAGCAGGGTGGTGTTACCTAATCACATTCTCCTGTCCTCATTGTAACTTTGCTTTGTGATGGGACCTTAATGCATCCTCAAGTTGTTTTCAAAAGGGATTTTCTTCTGAAAAGGGAGAATTTTCTTATTCCTCATTATACTCAAAAAGGACAGGGCCAAGCGGGATCTGCTGAACCTCAGAAGTCTATCACTGTTATGATGTTAGCTCCATCTCCACCATCCATTGTCCCTTGCCCTCAGCCCTTTGTACATAGACTCACTCCCCTGTGATTAGCACTAAGACTAATCCTCACCGTGGCTTATCCAGACTGACAGGATTCAAAACCCATGATTCTTCCTGTCAGGAGATTCATGATGAAGACTGACCACAGAATAACCAGGAACTTTTCTCAGCAGGATTAAGCTTCAACCTTGGGAGCTCTGCGGGGCGATAATGCACTGTCCAGAGACAAGCATCCAGATCACTCCTTGGGGTCTGATCTGACACCAGTCCAGTCATGATCATCAAGAGAGCAACAAACATTTATAGCAACAGTGTTAGCAATTAGTGGAGGAGGGGGGAGAGAAACAGAATGAGCAGTCCTGTGTTTCTGCCAAAAAGGTGTGCTGATTGGAGAATGACCCCTGATGACTGTAGATTGTAGCTAGTCTCCATTTAGCTGTAGCCTGTGTAGCTTGTGTTGTCACTAATGCCTTCATGGGGTGGGTGGAAGATGGGAGAATGGAGAAAAGAGATGTTCATTTGGGTCTGATGACCAGAGTGGGAAACAGAGATGTAATATTGTCTCAGTCCTCTTCTTCCTCCATGGAAATCGTAGCTGTGGAGAAAAGAGAGTTCATCTGTTGCATTGATCTCCTCCACCCATTGCTGCTCCCCTTTCGCTTCCTCCAGTGCCTGGCCCCGTCAGTCCTGCTAAGCAGGCAGGTCTCATGTGAGCTGTGTGTCTTTGTTTTGGCAAAAGGATAAACATCTGAATATTTTAAAGCTAAGGAGTGAAGCATGGGGGAATACATCAGAGATTACAGACTGTAAAGAGTTAACACATTATTTGCAGGAGGTTTGCCAACTAGGCAGTGATATGAGAAGAGTCCAGAGAAACCAGTCCTCCAAGTACAATGTGGCTGGTTAAAGAACCCATCTGTCTCGAGTCTTATTCACTGGAGTGAGAACTTGCTCTTCATTTCCAAAAAATGGTCATTGAAAACCCAAGCCTTGACAGTCTCTGAACCATATTAGTCTGTAGAGCTGGGAAAAACACAGCATAAACAAAGACCAAAATAGCCAATCTTGTACCTTGGATAGCCAGCAAAACTCAGGGCTCACCTTGCTTCTTGCTGGTGGTACCCAGCCAGATTTTCCCCTTTTTCCCAAAAGCCCATTCTCCACTGCAGAAGGAGAACAGCTCTGCAGGGTGAATCATGCAAGCCAAGCTTCTCTCATTGCTAAAGGTCAACATCCATGCTTGCCAGGTCTGCAAGCACGGTAGTGGGTGCCAAGCCTGCTGGGGCTTCATGCCAAGGGAACAGGAAGAACGAGACAGGGCAAAAGCAGAAGGCCACAGTATTGTTTGTTTTTTTTTCTTTTGCTTCATAGGTACCAGCCAAGCAGTGGCATTGTGTCTTATTTCGACCCTATGGTTAAAATAATATCAAAATCAAAGTGATGCTAGTCCTTTCCAAAAGGGCTAATAGGAATGTAGCTGGGGAAAAAAACAGACGTCTTAGAGAGAAAAGAAATGCCAAGAATTATTTCTATTACCACCGATACTAACATTGCTTCTGGAGAGCAACAGGCAGTTTCTGTTTGCTGAGACTGTTTTGAAAAAACATCTTCTTCTTCCCAAAAAGTGCAAAGAAAAAACCCCAGCTTTTGTAAAGAAGAAAGAGACACAGGGGAGAAAGAGAGAGAGAAATAGCTTTATTGCTTGATCTGTTTCTGTACTTTTTGTTCATTAATTTTAATTTAGATTGATTTATTCCAGAATGAGCCCTGGATTGCATATATTTGCATAACCCTCCCTGGTAGTAATGCTGTGGAGAATCCAGCAAGTGAGGAAAAGTGGAAGCAGAGGGTAGGAACAGAGACTGCAAGTCCCAGAACAGTATTCCTCAGGGCTGGGCCCTACACTGGGACAGTGAAGGCATTTCAAGGTCTGTTTAGCCACAGGTATGGCTTTGTGTGCATGCAGAACAGCCCTGCAAAGCAAAGGTCAGAGCTCAGCAGGCAGGAGGGAGAGTGGAGGCTGGGTGAAACCAGTGGGGGAGAAATCATACAACTGCACTGGAGAGATTAGAAACAAACCCCCAGAAAAAAAAGCGCCATGGAATATCAGTTGTCCAGCAGGGACACTGATAGCATCAGAGCTGTAGCATGGACAGATTACCCTGCAGAGCAGAGCTCAGACAGGCCATAACCCTCCTGAGGCAGATGTCCCCTGCCTGCAGGACACTCATAACCTGATACCATCTGTGTGTTAGATGAGTTTCCGAAGCTACCAGCTGGACGTTCTTCCGCAGGGATGATGAGACTGACTT